CAGAGCAGCAAAGGTGAAAGCAGAAGGTGTGGCAGGCATGTTGAGCCCTTCTGCCCTGGCGAAAGTCAGGCAGCCTACGATTTTCATCTTGGGACTGGAAACCAGAGGGGTAGCAATGGAAGGGAGTGAGTCCTGTGGGGACTGGGGTTCGAGAAAAGGAGAAAGAGTGTGGTACAGGCTGCAGGAGGCAAGGGCAGAAGCTGTAAGATGTGGGCACTGAACGCCCAGGGGGGCCAGGAGGCGCTGTCGGGGACACGGAAATGGCACATTCCAGGAAGCTCTGGGACCCCTCTCTGCACTTTCCCCCCGAGGCCTGGTAGCTGTTGCCCTCGGCTGGGCAGCCTGCAGGCAGAGACATTCACAGCACCTCCGATCCTTGTCCAGGGGAGGAGCAAGCCTAGCTTCCAGGAGCGGTTCCTTCTTCCTTGGCCAGAGGGAATGCCTTTGCCACTAAGGTGGAGGTCTCGCTTTTGTTCCCCTTGGACGTCACTGCTCAGTGCTGCGGGTCCACGTGCTTTGTACCATAATAATTAGGAGAAAGCAAATGACCATTGCTTGCTAAGGGAATGTTCAGGATTTCTTAAAACAAACAAACAAACAAACAAACAAACAAACCTCATTCAATGTTTTATACGAGGCTACATGGAATATGTAAATCATAGTGAGGTGTTAGTTGACCCCAAGGAGTTTATGATCCAAAAGAAAAGATGAAAAAATATGCCAAACCTGTCATGTGGAAGTTATAAAATTGGCCTCAAGTGGTCAGACAAAGTGGGAGGGGGCTTTTGCCAGATGCGGGCTGCTCACAGCAGGAGCCTGATAGCAACCAGGCCAGGAGCCTGTGCTCCAGCACTGCCTAAGACATTTTGCACTGTTTGACCTGGGACAGATGGGATTAATTTGGACATTTGACCTTGGACATATTGGATTAATTTTGACTTTTCAGACCCTCTCTCCAGTGTCCTGGTCATGTGGCTCTCTCTCTTTGAAGCTCTAGATGCGCCCAGAGATGTAAATAGCATGGTGAAAAGACCTGCCTAGTATTTGACTCGCTGGTTTTATGGAAGGACACGTCGGTAGAACTTATAGCAGACTGCCCCCTGGGCCTGGTGGAGCCTTCACATCCCCCAGCCCTTAGTTAAACAGGATTACATGAAAAGCCAAACAGCATAAACTTACTTGAGAGGCATACAATACGCTTAAAATTACAGTATGTGTGCACACATACAAGCGTGTTTGCATGCGCCTGCGTGCGCGCGCACACGCGCGCACGCACACACACACATACACACACACTGCTTCTTTGTTTTAAAAAAAAATCCCTTCAGAACTTCGGTCACACAGCGCCTATGGGCAAGGGTGCCACAGAGATGTCATAGCAATGGAGGACGGGCAGAAGACGTCTTCGCGGGTGCCCTTCGGCAGTGTGACTCAGTGACAGGATGATGGGACTATATAAACACATCCATAGGAGCTCTGATAACCTCTGTGGAGTGCAGCTTCCTGCCCAGTGGTAATTCGAGCAATAATATGTGTTGGAAGGCAATAAAATATTTCATATTTTTTCATGTGCCTTCTAGAAAAATAATGTTTTAAGACTAACCTAATAACCTCAAACTCTCCCTGTGATTTTTAGAAATAGTTCCTCTTTTATCAAGGTTTTTTTAGTTTAAAGTCACAGTATTAAAATGTGTGATACCTACACAATACCTGCCACTTGTCTCCCACAGGCAGCCCCAGCAAATCTCCTCTCTAGAAAGCAAAAGCCAGGTAGCTCTGGCACGCCCAGATGGAAGCGGGAAGAGGCAGGACTCTGACAACGCTCTTCTCTCGTCCCCAGGTCCTGTACAACCTGTTCAAGTCCTTCTGCCAGATGAAGACCATCGAGATCATTGACGTGTTCGCTGGCATCGCTAACTTCTTTGTTGTAGGGATTGGTGGGGTGTTGATTGGCATTTTCCTGGGCTTCATAGCGGCCTTCACCACACGCTTCACGCACAACATTCGTGTGATCGAGCCGCTCTTCGTCTTCCTATATAGCTATTTGTCCTACATAACCGCTGAGATGTTTCACCTCTCCGGCATCATGGCGTAAGTACCTCTTAGCTAAAGCCCAAGGCACGTGGGTCCCGAGTTCCTGTGCTCTAGCAATGGGGTCAAAATTGAGGACACAATAGGAGATTAGATTTTCCTATTCTAAGGATAGCTGAAATAGGTTTTTCTTACCTTTTATGGTGAAGAAATAAGAACATCTGTCAAATGTATACAAATATGATTTGGCATGAAGATAAAAACTACCTATAAGTTAGTTACCTCTTGAGTTTCCCAACACACGGGCTGGTGCACTGTTGGGCGGCTCTTGGCCAGACACCAGAATTTGATGGGCCTCCTATTGACCACCAGGGGCTGTCAGTTATTCATTCCACCAAGTCTATGTCACCCGTGCTCCTTGAAGGGTTCGGGGCTTGCTTGTCAGTATCCACAGCTACAGTCTTAGTGGTAGAAATATTTTATCCAATAGATAAGACTATAGATGATAGCTTAAGCTCTCTGAAAGCAGAATCAATCAATAAAAGGTATAATCTTATAATTTTAGAGTCATATTTCTCAGCTGGTGACCTCTGATTAGAAAATAGGACATTGCATACTTACTTTCCCATCAAAGATACAGTTAACATGCCATTCATTGACTAATTACTAGAAATTCTCAAAACGTACCTCAAATGGACTGTAGTGTGGAATTCCCAAAACAAGCCTGTCACAGTGGTCACCCTCAGCATGGGGTCGGTGGGAAATCCTCGGTAATGAAGGATCAGATGCCTTCCTTTTTATTGTGTTTTACTGACAGGTACTTATCTGCAACCCCTGTACCTTAGGCTGTATCCTAGGACTTGCTAAACACGTCATAGTTCTGCTATTGCAGGCAGCTTTCTTCCAGAAGCGTCCCCTCGTGGCCAGATTTGGGTGAGGTTCTGACCAAAGACGTTGGCATCTTGGGTTCTGCCTGACATCAGCTGCTTTAGATCAGAAGCTGATGAGGGCTGTGGTGGAGGAGGCCGGAAGCCCTCCCCGGAAGAGTGGAAGTCGCTGTCAGGAAAGCCGCGGCTTAGTGCCTGCTGGTTTTCCACTTTACAGAGAACCTAAATAAAGCAGGGTACTAATCCAGCGTGACCCAGTGATGGGCCCTTCTGCGTCCCCTGGCCGCTATTCATAGCATCTGTGTGACGTCCAGCCTTCTTGCCTCCGTGCCGCGTGCGATCCGCTGGCTCCAAGGTGTGGGGGCGGCGCTGCGTGTCGTTTCGAAGCAGAGGAAACCGGAAGCGCCAAGCAGGAGCTTCACGCCCTGCTGCGTGCGTGCGTGTGCGAGTCCCGAGAGCGCTCCCAGAGCAGCTGGGCGCGGGGCGTTTTCCAGAAGATACACGGTGTCGGGGGTGGTGAAGAGCTGGGTGTGATAGAATGGGGGCGACCCAGCGATGTCGGCCAGGGCCCCCCGGGTTGAGAGGCCTCCTGTCAGGATAGAGGTCTCGGGTTTACTCGCTCCGTGCTGGGAGTTCAGAAGTAAGAGACACAGCCAGACAGTGGCCATAAACGGCACGGGCGAGGCTCCGCTGCAGTTCGCAGGGAGACGATGGACACAGTCTTTACCTCCAACTGCTGTCCCAGCGCTCATTTTCAGAGTGCTTTTCCTTCTTGCATTTAAACTGATGCTGTCGTTGTCCAGCATGTGCACTAGAGTCGTGACAGGACCTTTCAGGGAGAGGCTACAGGGGCGGGAAGCCAGTTTGCCTTCGGAATAACCTTGCACACCATTGCTGGGGAGAGCAGGTGAAGGGCCAGATTGCGGTGGGAGGCTGCTCCTCCTCAGAGGTAGTTTTCCACGTGGATGACTTACTGTTGTTCTGCTCAGAGGCCCCTCATGCAGTGCCTCTGCACGAGCCGATGGCTGTGTGTGTGACTGTGTGGTAATTACTGCACTTGCCTCGGGACATTGGTCCAAGGAACAGTTTAATGATGCTGTTAAGTATGCACATCTACTAGTTGGTATAAAGTATTAATTTTTTAATATTTAAAAAATATTATTTTAATTGTATTTAGAGCTTAGAAATTCCGATCATACCTCATGCTAATTGCATCCTTTTTCTTGCTATTTAGAAACAAAATTTTAAGGTTAATGGGCGTGAGGGCCCCCTGGGTGCTGCGCTTGCTGAATGTTTTCCCTTGTTGAAGAGACAGGGGCAGCAGCCTGGACAGGAAGGCAAGCGGAGAGGGACTCAGGTCTTGGGAGAACCCTGGGCGGCTGTCAGGATTCGCTGAATTGCTTCAGCGCTGCACACCTGAGCGCCACCTGCTGCCTCCTCCCCCACTTTCTTCCTTCCTCACCCATCTCCCTGCTCTCTCTCACTGCCTTCCAGGCCTATAACTCACTGTCCACAAGCTTTGCCTTGGATGGGCTTTTGGACAGCCTGTCCTGGAACAAGATCACATCATGAACAGGTAGTTAATAAAAAGTCTGATTAAAAATAAACTTCCTTATGTAGAACCAAGACTTGGCATTGAGTTCAAAATGCACCCAGGCTTTGAAGTAGGACAACTACAGGCTGGATCGCAACATCGTGGCTTCTTCAGTGAGAAGCGGGCAGCACCGCACCTCACAGCCTCCCTGCGCTACGGCCCTCCACTGCTGCCTTGAGGCTGTGGCTTTTCATACGTCCCCCCAGCTAGGTCCATCTCTTCTCCTCTGTCTTATGAAGTCCTTGGAAGGGTGACTCCTTTCAAACCTGATTGTGGTGGGGAATTATTTCTGTTCATGTTTTAGTGTGTGTTCAGAAGAATTTTAATTTCAAACAGTTAAAAGATGAAATTTCCTGTGTTTAAGTATTATTTTCTGCTCACGTGTCATGTAGACCCTGAGGAGCTACCAAGACCACTAGGACAGGCAGGATTGAAGCAGACAGGAGTATCTTTATTTCAGGCTGGGTGAAGCCTGGTCAAAGGTGAGAAGGCCATTGACCACAAACTAAGGAAGAGAAGCAGCTCTCTCGGCTAGCTGAGGTAAGGGAGGGGGCGTCCCACTGAGCGACATGAAAGGTTTTACGTTTCTCACAGTCATGGGTGGGTCCGGTACCTCCTTGCGGGGAGGGAAGTACATGGCAGTAGTGACATTCTGCTGATTTACAGCGTGTCATTGTGTAGATTTACAGGGTTTCTCATAAGCCTGAGAACCAGCCCTGGGAGCCATCCTGATAAGCAGATTTATTTTAGTCTCTCAGGCTGAGAGAGAGAGAGTGTGTGTGTGTGTGTGTGTGTGTGTGTGTACGGGGGGCTTCCTGCTTGGACAGAGCAGTGGTCTGTAGCTTTTCTCTTCAGGTCGGGAAGGGTGTAATTGTGAAACTCTAATATCAAGTATTTGCTGTCATAGGGAAAGTGTGTGTGTGTGTGGTTGGATGGGTGGGTGTGTGTGCGCATGCATGTATGTGTGGGGGATTTTCTAGGTTAGAGTCTGTGGCACTGGGTCCCAGGTGAAAGGCAGAGTCCCTGTCATCTCCTGGACAAGAGCCCTCCCATTGGCCCAGCAATGGGTGAGCTCCAGCAGGGAGATGGAAGTGGTGGTTAGTGACTGGTTTTAGAAATTACTGTCTCAGCGCATATGTTTCAGACTTCACAGTCTGAGAAAAGCTTGGGGACAAAGCACTGGTGACCCTGCTTATGATAGGGGGCATTTTCCCACTTGCCTCTCTCTCTCTCTCTCTCTCTCTCTCTCTCTCTCTCTCTCTCTCTCTCTCTCTCTCTCTCTCTCTCTCTCTCTCTCTGGCAGAACCAGGGGATTGAACTCAGGCCCTTGTGCTTGCTTACCAAGCAAGCGCTTATTCAACTGAGCCATCTCCCCAGCCCCACCACTTGCTTCTCTTGCCTGAGGTCACTTAGAGATGCCTTAGTGACTCCTGGGAATCTGATCGACGGAGAATGAGCCTGTGGGACTTTGTTCTCCCTTCTGCTCACCAGACACCCTGTGCCCCCACCCTGCACCCCACACAGTCCCCTGAGGGCTGATAAATGTGAAGTTGGAAGCACACTGTTCTCATGGGGACACAGTCCTCAGGATCCTCCTCTAAGCAGCTCGCTGCCCCCCAGACATGCCGATCACTTTTGTGTGCGCCGTGAATTTCAGAAACAACTGCCTCCTCCTTTATATAGGAGAGCACAGGCCCAGTGTTTCTTGGTTTTGTTTCAGTGGATTAATATTTTTTTAGTCTTCCTCTCAGATTACTTAATTCGTAAACATTTTCCATTTGTCTTGATCATTCTAGAAGCACTACTGTAAAGAAGGCAGGAAACATGGAGTCTTAGTTTCATTTTATGAAGGTAACATCAAGGCTGATTCACAAACCATGGTTGCCCCATGACTCAGTGGTTACTGACTCCTGGACACTGGGACCCCAGAGCCAGGCCAGCCCAGGCCCCCTGGACATGAAAACCCAGTACAACTCAAAGAAAAGATTTAAATGAGAACTCACAGGAAATGCCCGGAATGATTGGGTCAGGACTGAAAGAAGGTCAGGTCTTTTCAGAGAGAGGGAGGCTCTTGTCCTCTCTCCTCCCTGTTTTCCTTCCTCGAGTGGACAGTGCTCACCTACTGAAAACTCTGAGGGAATAAGGACAGTGTACCTTTGTTGGCCGTCCTGTGGCTTTGTGACCATACCCAAGTCTGTTTCCTCACCCAGTTGGAGTGGAAAGTTGTTAGTGGGAGGAAAAAGGATTTTGGTAAGACACGGAGACCATGAAGACGGCGGAGGCACAGCCTCTAGGGCCATCTTATGCGGGGCAGGATTTAGCTCCTTTTATCTTCACAGAGTGGTTGAGGACACTCAGAAGCTGCTGATCTGTTGATCTGCATCAGTCTTGAAGGGTTAGAAGCAGACTAGGCAGGTTTTGAGAATCAACGCTGTGCCGCTGAGGTTTTGACTGTTCAAGGCTGTTGCTCCGGGAGACCCAGGCTCTCTACAAGGATCCACAGCAAGCCACTTTGCCTCCAAATTGGGATGTGGAAGTGTGAGAATGAGCAGATGGACTTGGGTGGAAGGACAGAAGGG